AAGGGGATCCCTGGGTGGCTCAGAGGTTTGGCGCCTGCCTTCGGCCCAGGGCATGATCCTGGAGTCCCGGGATCGAGTCCCGCGTCGGGCTCCCTGCATGGAGCCTTCTTCTCCCTCCACCTGTGTCTCTGCCTCTCTCTCTCTATGTCTATCATGAATAAATAAAATCAAAAAAGAATTTCATCATAAAATAAATAAATAAATCTTAAGAACAAAAACAACCTAGTCCACATACATGAAAGAGTGGAAGGGGCAGAAAATGATTAAGGTGGACAATTCTATTCCAGTAACTCTATATTTGTGTCTTTGGAGAGATGTGACAGGAGTGGGCCTCTATCTCTGTGCCCTTCTTGTCACCTGGGTCCCAAAAGGAGCATTGTTTAAACCCAGAATGAACAAAGTTTCCAGAGAAAAATTCTCCTCCAGCTTTTGGTCTTCACTCTTCTAATTTCTGGGGTTCCAGGTTTGTCCTAGGCGCCAGGGGACAGACGGGAAAGTCATTTCTTTCATTGTCCCCCACAACCACTGTTTTATTCTAAAAGGGAGAAGCGGAAAATACCCGTTGGTATCGACGTAGGAGCACCTGCGTGCGCTGATGCCAGCGCTGAGTGCGGGTGCTCCGGAGGAGCCCGGTGGTGGGTGCGCGAGTCATTAGCTGCGGGGCGGCCCCAGGTGTGCGCTGCCCAGCCAGGTGTGCTCGGGCCGGGGCGCGCGGGCGGGGCCGCGTCCCGCCTCCAGGGGGCGCCGCCGGGGGCGGCCTCCCTGGGCGGCTGCGCACGCCTCGCCCCACGTTTCCGCTCGCTGCCCCGCCGGCCGGCCCGACGGCGCCGCGCTCCGCCGCAGGTGAGGCGCTGGGCGCGGGCCGACCCCGGGTCTCGGTCCCCGCTGCCGCGGCGCGGGCGCTCTGGGGACGCCGGGGACTCGGGGCGCGGCCCCCCGCGCGGGCGGGGGCAGGGGGAGGCCGGGGAGCGCGCCTGGCCGCGAAGGGGCCGCGGGCGGCCTGCGGGAGCAGCCTGGCGGGGGCGGGGGCGGGGGCGGGGGGGGGCGCCCGGCGGCGACACGGGCCCCGGAGCCGCGGCGCTTGGCGTGACGCAGGCGCCGCCGCCGGAGCGGGCGAGGGCGGGAAAGTTAGGAGCTGTCTGCGGGGGTGGCCGCTGCCGGCTCCCCCTGGAAAGGCGGGGGTTATTCGCAAGGTAGTTTTAGGAGGATCTCTCAGGGGAACCAGGCTACCGCTTTTCAGAATTTTTTTTTTTTTTTTAGATTTTTAAAAATTTATTCATGAGGACAGTCCGGGTGGCGCAGCGGTTTAGCGCCGCCTTCAGCCTGGGGCGTGATCCTGTGGAGACCCGGGATCGAGTCCCACGTCGGGTCCGTGCGTGGAGCCTGCTTCTCCCTCTGCCTGCGTCTCTGCCTCTCTCGCGCTCTCTGTGTCTCTCATGAATAAATAATAAATAGAATCTTTAAAAAAAAAAGTTTTTTTTTGTTCACGAGAGACAGAGAGAGGAGGGAGAAGCAGGCTCCCCGTCGTGGAGCCGGGAGCCTGATGCCGGACTCGAGCCCCGGACCCTGGGAATCACAACCTGAGCCCAAGGCAGTTGCTTAACGGACCGAGCCACCCAGGTGCCCCTGAAAATCTGTGTGTGATTTCAGAGATTCCTGTTTGTGAGGAAACCCAAAGCTGCCAAAGAAATCTACAAACTTCTGGTGTTTGTCAGCGTATGACCTTAGGTTTCTTTGGAGCTGTTAGGTACACGTCTGAAACACGGGGAGAAACTTCTCGCACAGCCTTGACTACCGAGTCTGGTTGTTGCTCTTCCGCTCCGTCGGCCAAAGGGTACCCCGTAATTGGACTTGAAACCCTGAATCAGTGCACGGTTCTTGAAGCACCGCTTCTCGGCTCCAAGCTGGCTTTATGAATACTGAGCTGGTAAGAACATGCAGGAGACTTGAAGCCGCTTCTTAAAAAGCGGATCATTCATTGTCCCAAACGCCCTAGGGAGAAATCGTGTATTGAAAACTAAAGGACACGGAGGCCCGGCCCGGCCCCGATGGCTCAGTCGGTGGAGCCTCCGCCTCTTGGTTTCCACTGGGGTCGTGATGAAGCCACAAATCTTAGACAAATTAAGCACGAATCTGCTTAAGATTCGTCCTCTTCTCTCCCTCTGCCCCTCTCCCCCATTAAAAAAAAAAAATAACCTAAAGGGCATCTCTAAATCTGTTGGATTGGCCTATATAAAGTGTAGGTCTCACACTGTCCTTAGGTACTTTTTCCTATAACGGAAGACTGGTCTCTCATTCAATTTATTGAAATGCTAATATGGAGAGCTCCTGCAGTTTGCCCTCATTTTCCCAAAATGCCTTGTTTTCCTGAAATGACTCCCAGGAGAAGCCGGAAGTTCCTGAATGAGCAGACAACCCTAGTAGAGAGCATTTGTATTTCAAAAGCCGCGTTTGTAAAGTTCTGTTAATTTCTAATTGGTGGATTTTGGTTCAGAAATATTTTGGACTAGTTGACCTTGCTAACAATGGTCTCAACTGTTAGCATGAGATCTAGAGAGGGTGGTTATTCATGCTGGCCTTAGATATTGGGCAGCAGGAAGTATAAGAGAACAGGAACAGAAGCTGTTACTGTTTTTAAAATTATCTGTCTTTTTTTTTTTTTTTTTTTTTTTTTTATTAAGTCTAGTGAGATCTCTTGAAAGTTCCAGCCTGTCTCAGCTCTTCGAAGTGGAGTCACTGAAAGTTCTTGTACGCAGTTAGCCAGGCCCTTTACCAGGGGGCAGGTCACCCTGCTGACTGGGGTGGAGGTGAGGGCTGCAGTGTTTGTTTGCAGAGGGACTGGTCCCAAGGAGAGGTGGTGATAATAAGAGGACACATTCAAGCAAACTTAGCATTCCCCTCTAGAACGTTCTCTATTCAGGGGCAAACCTTAGAAATTAAAGAATGTATTAGGAGGACATCAGTTAAACATGACCAGCCTCTTAACAGAAATTCATTCTTTACTTGAAGGTCTCTCTCTTGTCAGTGAAACTGCTCAGGGCAAGACAGCCTTGTTTAGGTTGGACCTGAGAGCTGTATAGACAGAGCTTACTGTGCATAAGGTGTTATACTCCGCCACTGGAATTACAGAAAGACCCAGTTACTGGGAATCTCAGGATTTGTAGGGCATTATGAGGTAATAGACACAGTAAAGAGCTAAAATGTTAAAAGGGATGAAAAAAATTTCAAAGTGGCAGTGGTCTGTTGGTGCACAGAAAGACAAATTGTCCTTGGAGGACCTGGCTAGAGTCACATTTGTGCTGGACCTTGAGCAGAGAGTGGAATGTTAATGGGCTAAGGAGTGGAATGGGGCATTCCTGTGGCAGACACCATGAACAGAGTAAAGGAGCTTAAAATGTAACCAGGTTCAGAGATACAGGAGCAACTGGTGTGTTGAGTCTGGACTCTGAGGCGGAGGTATACCTGAAAAGAAAGGCTGTCTGGCTATAAACTACCTTTTTTTTTTTCTTTGGAGAGGTAAAGAATCTAAGCAGGCTCCACGCCCACCATGGAGCTGGACATGGGGACATGGGGGGCTCAATCTCACAACCCTAAGGTCATGACCTGAGCTGAAATTGCAAGAGTCTAACTTAGCCAATTGAGCTATAAGGCACCTCTATAAACACTTTTTGATCAAGGTTCTGGGTTCTTTTTTCCTTTTTTATTAAAGCAAACACAAAAGCACAGGGAGTGGTACAATGAACTTCCACAAATCCATCAAATAGATGGAACAGTTTGTTAAAACAATTTCATTGGCCATATCTGCTTCATCTTTTTTGTTGAAGCAGCTTAAATTCCAGACACCGTATCATGTCATCCTTAGTGCAGTATGTGCTTCCAACAAAAGGTCTTTTTCTTGTATAACCTTAATACCATTGTTATCTCATTGTCATGATTATATTGACAGTAATTCCATAATGTTTTCGAAGACCCAGTCCATAAAGTTCCTTGATTGCCTCAAAAATGCACTTACTTTTCTCTTGGTTTATGTGAATTGGAATTCAAACAAGGTCCACACATGATATTTTGTTGAGCAGCTGATGCCTCTCTTAATCTAGGACAGGGGTTTGGCAGACTTTGTGAAAAGGGCCAGATACTAACTCCTGCAGGCTTTGCAGGCCTTGTGGTCTCAGTTGCAACTAATCAACTGTGTTCGTACAAAAAGTAGCTGCAGATGATACGTACATGAATGAACGTGGCTGTGTCCCAATAAAATTTTGTTTTAAGACTTTTTGTTTTAAATTCCACTGGCAGGCTGGACTTACCTGAGAGCTATAGTTTGCTGACACTGGTCTGTCATGGTCCCAGTGGGCTTCTTTAATGCCAATGATTTACTGGTGGCGCTTGGTTGCTTATAGATGCCTTACGTTCTGGATTTATTTGGCTTTTTGTGTAGTATCATTTAGCTTGCTCCTCTATCCCTTGTATTTCCTATAAACTGGAAGTTAGATCTAAAGGTTCTAAAGGAAGTTAGATCTAATTAGGTTCAGGTTCTCCGTTTTTGGCAGGTGTACTTCAGAGGTCATTTTAATTGTTTTTTAATGTAAATATATGGCTCAATATTCCTAAAATAGGCTTTGCCTTATGGCTGAAAATACATTTTTCCCCCCTTGTCTTAATATTCCTTACTTGAAGGAGAAGATACGGCTTCTATTTCTCCAGGATGTTGAGAACTGTGAACCCCTCTGCTAGGTCAGTGGAAACCCCACCCTGTGGCCCCTTGGCTGGTGGACCACATTTTCCCACTGAATGGAAATATCTTCCTCCCCAGACCCAGGGTTTCAGATGCCATCTGGTAATGGCTAGGTTGGTTTGTTTTTGTTTTTAAGCCCCTTGTCTCTTAAACACTCAACTTTCTTCACTCATCTTCCTCCTCATCTTCCCAACAGGACTGGGAGCTGGAAAGAAATACTTGGTCCATGCCATGGTCTCCTGGTCACCCTGTGAAGTGGGAGTACTTATCCTGCTGTCCCATTTAGAAGGATTCTAAAGTCAAAAGCTTTTGTAAGCTCATACACTTATTCTGGTGCTGGATTCTAGGGCAACACAGCTTTGAAGAAACATGTCTACAGGTAAGAATTCTTGTTTTCCCCTCTGTTCTAGAGTGCATTTTACTCCTAAATCCTGGACCACCAGAGGTAGCATCTTGACAAATAGTGTCACTTGGAAGTCCTTGTCTTTCTGTTGTTTAATAGATGAAACTGTCTGTTCATCCCTATACCCATTCTTCTAAATAGTATGTTATTGATCTTTCTCTTACTGATTTGTAAGAATTCTGTATACGTTGGAGATACTAATTTTTTGTTATATGTGTTACAACTGTTTCCCCATTTTTTTAAACTTTGTTTACAATAGTTATGCTCTGTAGAAAATTTAATTTTATATAGGGGAAAAAATAACAGTTTCTGTTTTACAGTTCCCTTGTTTTATATTTTGCTTAGAAAGACTTGTCCATTTCAAGATTTTTTTAAGGTGTTAATAATACAGATAAATGAACATGTGATGAGAACTAGGAACATGTGATTCTGTAAGAGAATATTGAGGGGCACTTGGGTGGCTCAGTTGGTTAAGTGTCTGGCTCTTGGTTTCAGTTCAGGTCACGATCTCAGGGTCGTGAGATTGAGCCCTACTTTGGATTCCACCCTCTGAGTGGAGTCTGCTTGAGTTTCTCTCTTCCTCTCCCTCTTCCCCTCCCCCCCCCACTTGCATGCACTCTTTCTCCCTCTAAAATAAATAAGTAAATCTTTAAAAAGAGAGAGAATATTGAAGTAGGCTTTTTCTGCTAGATAACATTAAATTGATTAAATGTTGGTGTTAACATTGGCCCTACGTTGGTAAGTGTTGAAGTTGGAATTTGGGTATTTGAGGGATCATTATATCATTACTTCTGTATATATTTGACTTTCCATAATAAAGAAGTTTTTCTTAAAAAAAAAAAAAAAGAATAGTAGGGGAAAAACCTTCTTTGTCCCATTTGTCCATATTCAGCAACTATTAAGCTTCTCTGTGTTGAACACTGGGAGTGTTTGTGTTATTAAATGCACAGGCTAGGGCAGCCTGGGTGGCTCAGAGGTTTAGCGCTGCCTTCAGCCCAGGGCGTGATCCTGGAGACCCCGGATTGAGTCCCATGTCGGGCTCCCTGCATGGAGCCTGCTTCTCCCTCTGCCTGTGTCTCTGCCTCTCTCTCTCTCTCTCTCTCTCTCTCTCTCTCTCTCTCTCTCTCTCTGTCTCGCATGAATAAATAAATAAAATCTTAAAAAAAAAACTGTGATGAAAGTTACATTAATCAACTTTAAAACTTATAGAATTATACAACCAAAAAAGGCCAATTTTGCTTTATATAAATTCTAGTAATGATGAATGAAAGTATCAGAGATGTAACTACTCTAAAACAAAATAAGAGGTAAAAGTAAGAATAAGAGAATTCTGAATTAAGCTAATGCCTGGCACTTATCAATTATGATTATTAAAAGAGACCTAGGACATATATAAACCAATACAATGAATGGACTTTGTTTTGACTTTGGTTTGAATAAACCAACTTTGGTTTGACCTTTTTAGGCAAATGGGGATATTTGAATATAGTATTAGATGATATTAAGGAATTTTGTTCATTGTTAGGACTGTAGTTATGCAAAAACTAAAATTAAAAAAAATCATAGTAAAATATTTAGTATTTATCACTAAAATATTTAGTGATAAAATTATGTGATTTCTGGTATTTGCTTCAAAATTCTTCAGAAGAAAGCAAACAAACAAAAACAAAAAACAAAGGGAGAATGACAAATGGAACACATATGGCAAAGCCAGGATGGTGCTGTCAGTTGAATGGTTAAGATCTACTGTACTCTACTTTTGAATATGCCTGGAAATATTCATAACAAAATGCTAAGAGAAGGAAAAAAAAACAGTGACTTAGTCTTTGTAAATACTCCTCAAAATGCAATCTAATTGTTCTTTATTCATTTATAAGATACACTACAGTTGATTCTTGAACGATGCTGGGTTGGGGAACCAACACCCTGCATTTGAAAAATCTGAGTATAACTTCTGACTCCCCAAAAACTTAACTACTGAGAGCTTACTGTTGACCAGAAGCCTTAGCGATAAGGTGTGCGTCAACTAACGCATATTTTGTAAGCTATATGCATTTTATACTGTATTCTTACAAGAAAGTAAGTTAGGGAAAAAATGTTATTTAAAAAAGGATGAGGAAGAAAAAATATATTTATAGTACTATTTTTATAAAAAAAAAAAGCTGCATATAAGTGGATTCACAAGTTCAAACCTGTGTTGTTCAAAGGTCAACTGTGATTTCCCCTTAGAGTTTCTATTAGGCTTTTATGATTTTATTTATTTATTTTATTTATTTATTCATGCAAGACAGAGAGAGAGGCAGAGATATAGGCAGAGGGAGAAGCAGGCTCCTCGCACAGAGCCTGATGCAGGACTTGATCTCAGGACCCCAGGATCATAACCTGAGCCAAAGGCAGGTGCTCAACCACTGAGTCACTCAGGTGCCCCCCATCACAATTCTTTTACAGAACAGAACCACCAAGAAAAGCCAGAAAACAAAACCAAAAAATACTGACTTCCCTCATTCTGTCCCATTGTAAGTCAAATCCTTCCCCTTCCCCTAGTTGCTGACAACCCTTGATCTAGTCTCCATCTTTTTTTTTTTTTTTAAGATTTATTTATTTGAGAAAGAGTGAGTATGTACAAGGTGGGGAGGAGCAGAGGAAGAGGGAGAGAGAGAGAGAAACTTAAACAGATTCCACGTTGAGCATGGAGCCCAAAGCAGGGCTCAGTTGCACAATCCTAAGAACATGACCTGAGCTGAAATCATTAATGGGATGCCTAACCAACTGAGCAACACAGGTACCCTGACTGATCTCTGTCTTGAAATGTTTTGCCATCTCTAGATTGTCACATAAATGATATTAAATAGTATGCAACCTTGGGACTGGCTTCTTTCACTTGGACAACACCTTTGAAATTCCTCTGTGTGTGTGTTCTTATTTACTGCCCATCTTACAGGCATACCCCAGTTTACATATCCATTCACTGTTGAAGGACATTGGATTCTTTACAGTTTGAGGCGATTATGAATAGAGCTGCTATAAACATTTGTATATAGGTTTTTATGGATTTAAATTTTTCATCTTTTTAGAGAAGATCCCCAGGAGGAAAATGGGTGGGTCATATGGTAAGTGTGTGTTTAACTTTTTAAGAAACTGCCAAACTTTTCCAGAGTGGCTGTACCCCATCATTTTGCATCTCAGCCACGAATGTATGAGAGTTCCAGTTGCTCCATATTTTTGTTAGCACTTGATGTTGTCAGGGTTTTTTTTTTTTTTTATTTAAGCCCTCCTAATAGGTGTGTTGTTTTTTTTTCTTAATTATCTGATTTCAGTTTTTTTAGTATTCTAAAAAATTATTTTAAATAACTCTTGAGTAAATTACGAAATTAAATTTATTTTATATACCTATTATAAAAATAATTATTTTTGGCTTTTTGATGATATTCTGTATTTAAATACGGTAAATATTCCATATAGAAAATAATCAAAACCAGAATGTTATTTGGATAGATTTTCTTTTTCTTTTTTTTTCTTTTCTTTTTTTTTTTTTTTAAGATTCATCCATTCATGAGAGACAGAGAGAGCACAGAGAGGCAGAGACATAGACAGAGGGAAAAGCAGGTTCCCTGTGGGGAGCCCGATGTGGGACCCAATCCCAGGACCCTGGGATCACGACCTAAGCCAACGGCAGGTGCTCAACTGATGAGCCACCCCGGTGCCACTAGATAGACTTTTCTTTAGTCTCACCAGTCAAGACATCATATTTGGCAAAGGATTACAGAACAGTACCTGAATACATGATGCATTTTGCGGTGATCCATTCATTATAAGCATCTTGTGCTTGTCTCATTTCTATTTTATAGAAATTTTATAACTGCTTTTGGCATCAGTTTTATGTTAGATTGATCAGGGGGCTCCCAGGTGACTCAGTTGTTTAAGTGTCTGACTCTTGATTTCGGCTCAGGTCATGATCTCAGGGATGTGAGATCAAGCCTCGTGTTGGGCTCTGTGCTGGACATGGAGCCTGCTTAAGATTCTCTCTCCCTCTCTCCCTCTTCCCCACCGCCTCTAAACAACAACAACTTTATTTTAAAAAGAGAAAGAGGGCACCTGGGTGGCTTAGTTGGTTGAGCATCTGCCTTGGGCTCAGGTCATGATTCCGGAGTCCTAGAATCAAGTCTCAGGTCTGGCTCCCTGCTCAGCAGATAGACTTCTTCTTCCTCTCCCTCTGCCCCTCCCCCCTGCTAGTACACACTCTCTCTCAAATAAATAAAATCTTTTTTAAAAAAGAAAAAGATCTGTGAATAGTAAATTACATGGGAGCAACTGGATGTAAGCAGAGTAATTTATTTGCCTTTTAACTACAGAGAACACTGCAGTGTTGTAGTTTAAAAATGAACTCCCATGTGTCTAAAGCTGTAGTGAAAGCTTACATTTGAATACCTTTTTCTTTATTAAAGCATATTGAGCTCAAGGAAGAAAACCATTTGTGAAATAAAGATCATCTGCATCTCTTTTTATGACTTAGGGACCATAGTCACTGGTTACTATTGCCTGAAAGTGTGGAGTTGCCTCCTGGTTTAATTACCTAAATGTCACTGCTAATGCTTTTGTCCTTCCCTCCTTGAATTAGATGAAACTGTGGAGGTCACTGCTGGGGGACAGCTCTGTCAAGTCTCACCATTAGCTGCTATGGTTTGAGCTTCCATTTGGTAGTATCATTTAACAGAACGGAAATTACCATCATCCAGAATCTGAGATTCTTCTGAATATTTCTGAAAAGTTGCTGAAGGATTAGGTCAATTGGGAGACCTTCCTTTGTAATCCCAGGGGCATTAGAAAGAAAGATGGAGGGGCAGTCCTGGTGGCGCAGCGGTTTACCGCCACCTGCAGCCCGGGGTGTGATCCTGGAGACCCAGGATCGGGTCCCACGTCGGGCTCCGTGCGTGGAGCCTGCTTCTCCCTCTTCCTGTGTCTCTGCCTCTCTCTCT